ATTTTATTTTTAAAGTAAACAAAAAAATTTTTTCACCCCAGTATCTCCTATTCTTTACCTATTACAAGAATTCTTTTCTACAACTTCCTAAACATATTGTCATTTGCACTGGGATATTATAGGCTGATTTGTGTGTGCTAAATAAATTCAGCCATAAAGACAGATTCAGTGCTGTACAAAAAAATACTATAATAGGACCATAGCAAGAGTCCTAAATCATAAAATGACACACCATCTTATCTTTGAGGTTAATATAAATTGGATATAACAACACATGTTAACATACATATTCACCTGTGAGGAGTACATCATTATTTTAATTAGGTGTTCATAAAGACATAAAAAAAATCTAAAGTAATAAACATTGAACAAAATTTCAGATGGTGGAAACTTTTGCATAGAAAGAGTAGCCCACAACACCAAAACTACACTATGTAAGCAGACCTTATTTCTTTTAATTGAGATAAAAAACATAAACCACAGAATTCACCATTTTAAAGTAGACAGCTCATTGATTTTTAGTATATTCATAGAGTTGTGTAACTATCACTGTTATCTAATTCCAGAATATTTTCATCAACCTCAAGAAAACCCCATACCCATTAGCAGTAGCTCACCATTCTGCTCTCCTTCTATCCCTGGCAAGCATTCATCTACTCTGTCTCCATGGATTTGTCTATTCTGAACATATCATATATATGGAATCATATCATATATGGCCTTTTGTGTCTGGTTTCTTTCTGCATAGCATAATATTTTCAAAGTTCATCTATGTTGTTCTTATATCAATCTTTCATTCCTTTTATGGATGAATAATACTCCATTGTATGGATATATCACATTTTGTTTAATCCATTCATTAGCTGACAGACATTTGAGTTGTTTCTACCTTGTGGCTGTTATGAAAAATGTTATAAACATTAATGTACAAGTTTTGTATGAACCTGTTTCAATTCTCTTGGGTATGTACCTGAGAGTGGTACTGCTGGGTCATCCGGTAACTTTATTTTTAACTTTTTGAAGAACTGTCAAACTGTCTTCTAAAGCAGCTGCACCATTCTACATTCCCACCAGAACTACATGAGGGGTCCAATTTCTCCACATCCTCATCAACACTTGCTATTGCTTGTTTTTAAGATCATCCTTAGTCAAGAAGACTATTTTTGTTTATGTGTCACGAGAAGCTGGCAAAGAAATTAAAAGTATAACTGGGAAGGAGTAGATAAAACTGTCATTATTCACAGATGATATGACTGTTTACATAGAAAATACCAAATATCTACAGAAATATTACAATAGTTCATCAGTATGGCTGGATATAACATCAATATACAAAAACTAATTTCATTTATATTACTGGATTTCAGTCATAGTAGCCACAACAAATATGAGCTATCTAAACATGAATCTAACAAAAGATATACAAGACCGTTATAGAAAGTATTATATTCTCCACACCGATGTGAAGAGTCAATCTAATTCCCATTAAAATTCAAAATAATTTTTTGAAAAGCTAGACAAACTGATTCTTAAATTTATATGGCAAACCAAAGGCCAGCAATAGCCATGACACCACTGAAGAAGAAAAATAAGGAGAATCTGCCCTACTAGATAATAAAAACCACAAAGCTCTAATAATTAGAACAGTGTATACTGTTAAGGAACAGAATGCTGATTAATGGAACAGAAAAGGGAATACATATATTAACAACTTAGATTTTAAGGTTTAAAGCAAGACTTTAAACTTTTAAAAACAATGTAGTTATTTCTCCCCAAAGTCTCAAAGAATGCTGGAGAGGGGAGGAGGAGTTGCAGAGGGAGAGAGACAGAGAAGAAAGAAAAGAATGAAAAGCAAAAAAAGAATATTTAGAAATTAGACTAAATTAACATTAAAATTAACACCAGACTCTTCTGAGTATCTGAAGAAAATGGCAGCTGCCTAACTTCTACAAGCCACTAGAAAATGGATGCCTCCCAATTTTTCCTCCCACAACTGTACAAAAGGGAAAAGTAAATCTACATAAAAATCATGTTCTCGGAATAATGTGAACAGAGAGAATCTTGAAACTTCAAAATAATTATAAATAAAAAGAGAAAACTTACCCAACCCCAGGGCACAGGACCTCAGGCTCCCGCCCCTCCAACCCTGCTAAAGGGCTTTATTTCAAGAAGACGCGCTGCTGGCAGACAGAAGACAGAAGATGGACGGCAAGGGAGCCCAAGGCCGATCTCAAAGTCCTGACAGAAAGACAAACCCAGCCTAAATCTGAAAATGTTAAAAAATAAATAAATAACTGAATAGACACGAGCACAGGGAAGGAAGTTCAAAGTTCACGTGAGTTAAAGGGGCAAATGAGAAAGGGGGCCTTGAGTCTATATTTGGGGGAAAAAAAGACAATGCTAAACAACTTGTATCAAAACTCTGAAGTGCTATGTATTTAAAACCTGATACACATTTAATATATGTAAACCCGATTTACTTTTAATAAGATCATTGGTACATACTAAAAGGAGATAAGAGTAGTAAAGCCAGTCAGAAAACTAATATAGTAATGTAGACAAGACAGGGTCCCAGACTATGAAGATAACAGCAAGATAGAAAAAAGAGGATGGATTCACAATATATTTTGAAGACAGAGCTTGCTAGTAAATTAAATGTGGAAGACAGGAAAAAGAGTGAAATGTAGGATGAGTCTTAGTTAGGACTTGAGCAGCTAGGTTAACCGTGCTATTTATTAGCTGAGGTGGGGAAGACTGAGGAAGGTATAGGCTCATGGGAGAAAATCAAGGCTTGCATTTTAGACATGTCATGTTGCTATTCTAATAGACATCCAGATAGAAATGTCAAGTAGGTAGTTTGATAGAATGGTAGGGAGCTCAAACACAGCTCAGAGATGGATTTATAAACTTGTGTGGCATTCAAAACACAACTAAATGAACTCAAAGAGGGAGAAAAGATGGAAAAATGAAGTAAGCCCAGGACCAAACTAAGGTACATTCCAGTATTTAGAGGTCTAACAGAGGAGACACACCAAGAAAGGGGACACAGAAGGACCAGCCAAACAGGTACAAAGAAGTTGAATATAAGGTCAGAGATGTCATTTTGCCAGGATCACTGACACTAATTACAATTGTTTTCGTTTATCTAACCTTCACACACTCTACTTTATGAAAGTCTAGCTCAAAAATAAAAAATTTTAGCTCCCAGCATTAATATTGAAAATATTCAAATGCTATGGTACATCCACTAGAATAGGAACTAACTGTGCTGAACATTGAGGGGATCCAGAGATTCAGAAACTTCTCCATAGCATGGCTACAGTGTGATCAATTTTTGTGAACTTTGAATCGCAAACTTAAAATTCTATAGAAAAGCAGAGAGAAGCGAAAAGGCTGGACTCATACAGACAAATCTGCACAAGGCCTGGTCTGAGAACTACTGGATAGAAATAGAGCAAGAAGGGCCGTAACCACAGGTGTGTTCAGATCACGGATCCCCATCTACACTGTTTTCTCCAGCGTAGCCTCTGTTCCCACTGTCGCCACAGAAGGCCCTCTTGCACATTTTATTTCCCTCCTTCCAAGCTATTTCTATTCCTCTCCTGAGACTCTCTTCACCTGACCACAGTTTTAACAGCTTTTGATTCCAACTGATCTGTATAATGTCTTTTGCTATAAAACACTGGTTTATAAAGCTTTAGACAAATAAGGTAATGACCGTAAAATTATTTTAAAGATTTTTAGTAAACCTATGTTAAAAACATTATAGAAGACTAATAAGAAGACTAATAAGAAAACAGTAAGTAGATTTGTCCCCTGTCTATCCCATTTTAAATAAGAAGCACAAACCAAAAATGATTATAACAGGAAAATCATAACCCAAAAAATTGAAGTTTCAGGGAACTGACTTCAGTGTTCTCCTCTGTGGGACCAGAGGAAAGGTATATAGTTAAACTACACTTTGATGAAGGAAGGAGAATGCTGTAAAATGAACAGCAATAAGGCCATGACACAGAGATGAGCTACTCTGACCATGTCAGTCATGGTCACGAATCAGGCACCTACAAAGGGATTCAAACGTTTTTTTCAACTCGGAGGAAGCTGAGGCTTTTCAGATCTGCTGAAGACTTAACTGCAAATATGCTGGCATTTCCTGGCAAGTCAATAATACTCACGTATCACAAATGCTGGCATTGCCTCAACCCTGCTTAGAGTGAAATTCCAGGGAGGAATGCTGCTCGTTGGCTAGACTCAGGAGGGCCAAGTCGGCTTTCAGGAGAGTTGCAAGAAAAAGAAAGCCCCTCAAGTTTCAAAAGGGAAAAGAGTAGTAAATGTATGAGCAACTCCTCCCCTGGCCTCCCTGGTACATCCTTCCCCTCCTTCACACCATTTCACAGACTCCTCCTGAGTGTGGGGACCCCCAAGATTCTCCCGCTTCTTCCTAGTCTGGAGAACACCTGATGCCATGGCTCCCAGCCAATAACTGAATTACCTTTCCTGGGGCCACCTTGTCGAGCCACCCAGTTGTCAGGTGGCTCCTTCTAAGGAAGCATAGACAATGGTTGGTGTCAAAGGATGCTGTGGTCTTTGGATATGACATGCTCCTGATGTGAATTTCAACCAACTCCTCACATCTCTCTGATGGGGTACACTAACAGAACAGAAGTGCGTGGGAAATCAGCATGCACCCAGATTGCAGACTCTGAAAGGAACAACAATCAAACCCTCTGTTCTTGGCCTCTTCACCATGTCTAATAACCAATATGCTAGAAACCAGGCTTTATCAGCCCACTGAAACCAAATATACAGTAACAATTCTCCATAACCACTTAATAAGCATTATGTACCTTATGGATGCTTAAATCTAGATACAAATAACAAATATTAATATTTATTAAATTTTAAATGTTTTAAGTCCAAACTGTCATCTTACTAAAACTAAACATATACTGTGAAGTGTTCATTTTGTAATTAAATATCCACGAGGAACACTGACTTACCTTTTCGAATACAGATGAGTTCATGTACTCCACAGGTTCTTTCTCCACCTGTAAAAAAGAATTTATTGAAAGTTCGGAAAAAGAAATAACCTGAGTTTGACTGCTACAAAGAACTGTTTTAAATTAGTTTCTATAAAATGGCCTCAGAATTTAAACTTAACTATATGAACATGATACACCTGACATTCAGAATATTCCTTAGCCCATAAAGTAATATCTTATAAAGTCTTAGAATGAAGTTTCATCAGTATGTTATTTTTAAATTGTAAGCTTCTCAAGAGCAGAAATCATATCACCCTTTCCTAAGCACCTCTACAGACCATCAAGAAGGAAACACTTCAAGGAAGGACCTACTTTTGTATCTGAGCCTTAATGTAGACAAGTAAGTTGTTATGGAAGGATCACTCCTGTAAGGGCACTACTGGTATTTTATCACATAAATGCAATACTGTCCAAAATGAAATGAAATTCTTTCCCCATTTTTCAGCTACCTACTCTTATAAATCTGTAATAAAAATTTTGTAAGCAATATGATGATAAAAACTAACAAATTTAGCCAACAGCTTACTTTATCATAGCTATTATCAAAAATCACTCTAAGAGTAATATTATTTATTAGTTACTACAGAATAGGTATTTTACTCTGAAACATAATGCCATTACTTTAAATGAACATAAGCTAAAGAAAATTTTGAGGGTGTTCTATAGATAAATGACCTTATAATTATGCTGTGAGTTATGCTTAAACTTTGCATAATACAAATACTAAATAATCACCTTAGTTCATTATAGAAGATTATGAACAGTGAAGATATAAGGAACAGAAATATCTTAGAGCACTACCATGAGAAATAAAAACCATGATGTCCACTAAAAAAAGTAGGTCATCTGGGAAGCAAGCTAAAAAACTAGAAAACAGTATTTCTATCACTAAAGTGGGTTAGAGCTACATTATCACTTGGTTGTAATGCCATATTTTGATTATTGTCAATACTACAAACTAATATCTTTTTATTATCAACACTAGGGGTTATCAGGAGGATAGACAGCAAGAAGAAACACCTAACTTAAAGCTATGATTATAAAAGAATTATTATTCAGCAAACCTCAGTGTAAATACAGTGAGACCTTACAATTGGAATGTTACCAATGAGCAACCACAGATCACTTGTTAAAGGGCCAGAATGAACTACAACTATACACTGTACTACATGTCTTTAAAACTGAGAAGACACTAGTCAGAGGCTAGAAGAAGAATATTTACCAAATTACAGGAAGAAACGATTTTCAAGAAAATTAAAAGAAACATGTAATAACAATAACATAACTCTAACATATATTGACACGATCACTGATGTTTTCATAGGGTATTTAGAGATGTGTCTTAGATGGTCATGAAGGCCTATCCTCTAGAAGGTAATTCTTGTTTCTTAGTTATGTACTTTATTCATGTAACAAAGCTATGCTTTTTAAATCTGTAATTAAAACTAGACTTTCCCCCATATTTAACATCAATTGTTTAGGTTTTATTCCACACTTCTTGACTTAAATATAACTGCATAGTTCTCACAAAGCTCACTATTAACAGTAACAATAAAAACTATCATATTGTAAAACTTTTCTCAAAGAACTGTAAAATGACAATGAGAGCTAACTCCCACTTTCAAAAGTATTCAATTTATTTATAACAAATGAAAGGACCTCATAAATAAAAGCTAAGTCAAATAATTACTATTATTTAAAATTACAGTCAATTGATAATCACCAAATTTGCCAAAGTATGCAAAAAAATCACACAGCTAGAAAAAGCAAGTAAGGTTGTACTCTACTGTTCTTGATACTTGTTCCAAAAATCTTAACCATGTGAGATTTCACTGATGTACAGGTAGAAATAAAAGCAATCATTATTATTACTGAAATGCAAAGAGGTGTTAGGGATAAATAAATGCCATATAATAAAGTAAAATTAAGAAAAAAACTTCCTTTTTAAAGCACAAAAGAAGAAATACAAAACATTAAATAAACATTATTATATTACTGGACAATGAAATCAATATTCCTTTTGTCCCCAATCCTTCCTGAGACCAGGAAATGTGTAAGGGAAAAATATGCATTCTATATGTTAAATATATATGTTTTAATGTGTACGTTTGGGAGTCAAAAGGCTTAAATACTTTTTCAATCAAAAATACATGAACTTTATACAAACTTTAAGCTTTTTTTTAATCTCTAAAAGTACATCAGAAGTTTCCAGAAGAAATATCAAATTTGTAAGCAAAAGGCCAGTCACTGCAGGTAAACCTTGACTTAGATATGGTAGTAATCCTAAAAGTTTATTGATTTTCAGATTATAATGCAAAAGGGGAATGATTAGTTGTTTTTATTTCAGCTTTATTGAAGTAAAATTGACATATAAAATTGTAAGATATTTAAAGTGTGTAAACATGGTGGTATGTATGTACCAAATATGTATATCAAATATACAGGGGAATGATTATTTACTTATTTATTTTTGAGATATAATTGACATAGTGTAAATTCAAGATATAAAACATGCTGACTCAATATGTCTTACACTGCAATATCATTACCTCCATAGCATTAGCTAACACCTCCATCACCCCTCATAATTATCATTTCTTTTTTGTGGTGGGAACGATTAAGATCTAGTCTCTCAGCAACTTCTAAGTTTGTAATACAGTATTGTTGTCTATAATCACTAGGCCTGTATTTTAGACCTCCAGGACTTATTTATCAATGTTGGCAAGGTTTTACTCTTAAACAATATTTCCCCAATTCCCCCACCCCCAGACCTTGATAACCACTATTCTATTCTGTTTTTATGAGTTCAGCTTTTTTAGACTCCACATATTAATGAGGTCATACACTATTTGTCTCTGTTTGATGTATCCACGTAGCATAATCCACTAAGGTCCATCCATAGTGTCACAAAGGCAGGATCTCCTTTCTCATGGCTGAATAAAATTCCATTATTTATATAAAGCACATCTTCATGCGTTCATCTGCAGATGGACACTTAAATTGCTTCCTTTTCTTGGGTATTGTGAATAATGCTACAATATGCGTAGGACTGCAGATACATCTTTGACAAACTGTCTTCATTTCCTTTGGATACATACCCAGGACCCTTATTGGATCATATATTAGTTCTATTTTTAATTTTTTAAAGAACCTCTATATTGTGACTGAACCAAGTCGGGGGAACGATTGCTTAAAGTAATCAGTCAATCACTTTAGAAAGAGATTCAACTAAAATGAATAATCGTCCTCAAAATGAACTCTTGTATAAACATAATTCAAAGACATAACAATAATAAAGACTTGAGAAATATATTAGAATGACAGAATATAAAAAAGAGACTAGAATTCAGAAATAAAGTGGTCTAGGTCATTACAGATAAATAAACAGATACTAAAGGTTGAATTGTACTTGCCCAGGGTCGATAGTTAACTGTCAGATAAAATAATTAAAACACCTGGTTTACAATACAGTGAAAAAGTACAAACTGATTTTTTTAAAATTTTTTAAAAAGAAGGAAAATTAGTGTACGTTTGGGAGTCAAAAGGCTTAAATACTTTTTCAATCAAAAATACATGAACTTTATACAAACTTTAAGCTTTTTTTTAATCTCTAAAAGTACATCAGAAGTTTCCAGAAGAAATATCAAATTTGTAAGCAAAAGGCCAGTCACTGCAGGTAAACCTTGACTTAGATATGGTAGTAATCCTAAAAGTTTATTGATTTTCAGATTATAATGCAAAAGGGGAATGATTAGTTGTTTTTATTTCAGCTTTATTGAAGTAAAATTGACATATAAAATTGTAAGATATTTAAAGTGTGTAAACATGGTGGTATGTATGTACCAAATATGTATATCAAATATACAGGGGAATGATTATTTACTTATTTATTTTTGAGATATAATTGACATAGTGTAAATTCAAGATATAAAACATGCTGACTCAATATGTCTTACACTGCAATATCATTACCTCCATAGCATTAGCTAACACCTCCATCACCCCTCATAATTATCATTTCTTTTTTGTGGTGGGAACGATTAAGATCTAGTCTCTCAGCAACTTCTAAGTTTGTAATACAGTATTGTTGTCTATAATCACTAGGCCTGTATTTTAGACCTCCAGGACTTATTTATCAATGTTGGCAAGGTTTTACTCTTAAACAATATTTCCCCAATTCCCCCACCCCCAGACCTTGATAACCACTATTCTATTCTGTTTTTATGAGTTCAGCTTTTTTAGACTCCACATATTAATGAGGTCATACACTATTTGTCTCTGTTTGATGTATCCACGTAGCATAATCCACTAAGGTCCATCCATAGTGTCACAAAGGCAGGATCTCCTTTCTCATGGCTGAATAAAATTCCATTATTTATATAAAGCACATCTTCATGCGTTCATCTGCAGATGGACACTTAAATTGCTTCCTTTTCTTGGGTATTGTGAATAATGCTACAATATGCGTAGGACTGCAGATACATCTTTGACAAACTGTCTTCATTTCCTTTGGATACATACCCAGGACCCTTATTGGATCATATATTAGTTCTATTTTTAATTTTTTAAAGAACCTCTATATTGTGACTGAACCAAGTCGGGGGAACGATTGCTTAAAGTAATCAGTCAATCACTTTAGAAAGAGATTCAACTAAAATGAATAATCGTCCTCAAAATGAACTCTTGTATAAACATAATTCAAAGACATAACAATAATAAAGACTTGAGAAATATATTAGAATGACAGAATATAAAAAAGAGACTAGAATTCAGAAATAAAGTGGTCTAGGTCATTACAGATAAATAAACAGATACTAAAGGTTGAATTGTACTTGCCCAGGGTCGATAGTTAACTGTCAGATAAAATAATTAAAACACCTGGTTTACAATACAGTGAAAAAGTACAAACTGATTTTTTTAAAATTTTTTAAAAAGAAGGAAAATTATGAAATTGTTTTCTAACACTTAAAGGTAATTTAGGTAAGCCAATTTCTCAAAACTATTCT